TCAAGATTTTATAGCTTAATTCTATCTTATTCTTTTATATATATTAATAAATATAATAATAATAATATTTTATTTCTATTAAGACTTTATATTAAAGAATTTAAATTATTATTTTTTCGATTTAATTAATCTATTATATTTTAAAGAAATTAGAAATTTTTCTTCTTTTATCTCTTCTTTTATTATCTCTTCTATTTCTTTTATATCTTACGAGTAAAGGTCTATAAATTAAATTTATATTCATTTTTTTAATTAGAGCTATCGAGTAAGTAGATAAGCGATCTTTGATAAGCGATCTTTAATAAGCGAACTTTGATGAGCGATATTTAAATTTCTTACGCTTTAATAATTATAGAACTAAATTTCAAAATTCAAAAAAATTCGAAAAGTATAAATAGCGCTTTAAAATTGAAAAAAAAATCTTAAAACTTTAATAGAAAACAAAAACGTAATTCTATATATTAATAATATATATTTATTTTTTTAATAAGAGAGAACGAGATTTTAATAGTTATAAACGCTAATTTATTTATTTATAATAATTTAATTAATCTAATTAAAGAGCGTAGCGAACTCGAAATAATAATTAACTATATATATAAATTTAAGATTTTTAAATTTAACTCTATCTTATTCTTTTATATATATTAATTATATTAAAATTTTAAATATAATCTTTAATAAAGCTCGCTCTTATAGTAAAAAATATTATATTTATTTCGCTATTATTATAATAATAATATAAAGTTTAATAAAAGTAATAATTTTATATAAGAGATATAATAGTCTTTTTTAATATTATTTAATTACTTCTAAATAGTAAATAGATTTAAATTAAAACTTATTCTTTATCTTAATATATTTATTTATATTAAGTCTTATTCTTTTTTTATTATTCTATCTTAATAAATCTATAAATTATTATTTAAAGTAATAAATTATTAAATAGTATTAAATATATACTTTTTTTTAATTTTTAATAATTTTATTTTTAATTTATAAATTAATTAAATAAATTAATTTATATATTAATAATATTAAGATTTTAAATATAAAGTTATTTATAAAATTATATTAAAGTTTAAAATAGAAATATCTATTATATTAATATTTTTAAATTTATTAAATAATAATTATAATATTATAATATAAGTAAAGATTTATAAATTAAGTTTATAGTTATTTCTTTTAAGTAGAGCTATCGAGCGAACTTTAATAAGCGATATTTAAATTTTTTATCTTTAAATATTTATAAGACTAAATTTAATAATTCTTTTTTTATTTAAAAGTCTATATTACTTTCTATAATTTAAAAAAAGAATAAAAAATTCTAATAGAAAATAAAAATACTATTCTAAAATTAAATAATATATCTCTATTTTTTAATTAGAGCTATCGAGCGAACTTTAATAAGCGATATTTAAATTCTCTATCGTTTAATAATTATAAAACTAAATTTAAAAATTTATTTTTTTATTTAAAAGTCTATATTTTATTCTATAATTTAAAAAAAATTAAAAATTTAATAAAAAATAAAAGTATTATATTGAAATTAAATAATATATATTTAATTAAGATTATTTAATTATTAAGCGAACTTTAATAAGCGTTATTTAAATTTCTTACAATTTAATAATTATAAAATTAAATTTAGAAATTATTCTTTTATTTAAAAACTTATATTTTATTCTATAGTTTAAAAAAGAAATTCAAAATTTTAATCGAAAATAAAAAAATTATTTTATATGTTAATAATATATATCTATTTTTTTAATAATTATAGATATTTATTAATTTATTTATAATAAGTTAATCGATCTAATTAAAATATATAATAACTCTAAATTTATAATTAATTATATATATAAATTTAAGATTTTTAAATTAAACTTTATTTAATTCTATTATATATATTAATTAGTTATTATAATATTAGCTATAGAAATATTAGCTATTATAATTTTAACTATAAATTAAAATCTATAAATTAATTTTATAAAAAGTAATTAATTTTTGAATTTAATTTTAAGATTAAATTTAACTCTCGAAGAGTGGAAATATTTTAATTTAAGATTTATCTAGAATTATAAAATCGAATTTTATAATTTCTAGATTATTTAAAAGTATAAATTATTTTCTATAATTTATAAAAGAATTAATAGAAAAAAGAGAAATTATATTAATAATAAATTCATAAAGAATTAATTAACTTTAAATTAATTAAATTTAATTAATAAAAAATTAAATTTAATATCTATTATAATTTATACTTATTATTTTATTCTATTTTTACTTTTATAATTTTATAATTTTTTATTAATTTTATTAATTTTATAATTCTACGATTTTTACGATTTTTATAACTTTTAATTTTTTTAATAAGAGAGATTTATAGATTTAAATCGAGAATAAAATAAAATGATTTCGAAGTTTATTAAAATTATTATTATTTAACTATCTAAGTTTATATAAAAAAGTATTTTTAATAAAATAAATAAATAATAAATTTTTTATCTTAAAATATTTATAAGACTAAATTTTATAATTCATTTTTATTTTAAAAGTCTATATTATATTCTATATTTTAGAAAAAAAATTAAATTTTTTTAATAGAAATTTTAAATATTATTCTAAAATTAAATAATATATATCTATTTCTTAATTAGAACTATTCGAGCGAACTTTAAAAAGCGATATTTAAAATCTTTATATTTAAATACTTATAAGACTAAATTTAAATATTTATTTTTTATTTAAAAGTCTATATTATAGTTTATAATTTAAAATAATATAAAAAAAATTTAATAAAAAATTAAAAAATTATTTTAAAATTAAATTATATAGACTTATTTTTTACTTAGAGCTATCGAGCGAACTTTAATAAATAAACTTTTAATAAATAATATTTAGACTTCTTATCTTTTAATAATTATAAAATTTAATTTTAAAATTTTTATATTATTAAAAAGCGTAATCTTTATTCTATAGTTAAAAAGAAAAGTTAAATTTTTAATAGAAAATAGTAAAGCTATTAAAAGATTAAAAATAAGATAAAATATTATTTAATAGTTATTAACGCTAATTTATTTATTCTATATAACTTAGCTAATCTAATCGAAGAGCGTAGATCTAACGAATTTATAATTAATTATATATATAAATTTAAGATTTTTAAGTCTAACTCTATCTTATTCTTTTAAATATACTAATTATAATAAAAATTATAATAAAAATTATTTAAATCTTATAGTACTAGCTATTATAATAGAATATAATAGTAGATTATTTAAATAAATAATAGTAGTAGCTATAGTAATAGTAATTATCTATATCGAATTTATCGAGTTTAAGAGCGTATAAATAAGAATAACGTATAAATAAGAGTAATAGACTAACTATTAGAATAAGTAATAGTTTTATCGAGATCGACTTACTAGTTAAATAAAATATCGCGACGCGTTATTATTCTTCTTTTCTATATCTATATTATAACTAATCTAGATTATATTATTATTAAATCTTTTAAAATTAAGAATAATAAAAAGACTTTAGAGATAAAAATTTTATTAATATTATATAGTCTAGTAAGAAGAATAAAAAGATATTCGATTCTCTAATAAGATTTATTTTACTATAGAATAAGAAGCTTAAATTTATATAACTCGATTCTACGATAAACGATATAAATCGAATTATTAATAATATAAGTCTTAAATAAATTCTTATATATTATATTATTAAGGAATTATAAAATAGAATTCTAAAAGTAAATTAATACTCTATTAAGACGAAATAAGATTCGAAAATTTAGATATATTACGTTACGTTAAAATTTTTAAAGAGAAATCGAGATATCTATAGTACGTATAATTAATATAATATCTCGAGAAAAATATAATTTTAAAAGAAGATAATAACTTTATATATAGCTATCTATCTTAAAAGAATATAGTAGCGATATTTAAGAAGAAATACGATATCGAGTATTATATTAATTACTCGTACTCGCTAGATTTCTCGTCAATTGAGAATATATAAAGGATTCTTAAATAACGTGTTAAAAGATATCGTTATAAGACGAAAGAAGCCTTAAGGAACGTAATTATGTACGAGTGAGAGCAAATTGATTAAAAGGAAATCAACAGATTAATCCTTAGTATGCCTGATCGTATGCAGGAGTGCTTGGATCGGGATGGTATGGGTACCAAGTACTAGAAACCATGTAGTCAAATAATGGTGTTTTGGTGTCTTAGTGTTTTGGTGGGGGAGTACCTCGGCAAAACTGCCACTTATTCTGACAGCCAGCCTGGTGGAAACGAGTATGTCGGATCTATCGGATTTAAGATGGCGTAAATGGGGGTAGATACATACGATTATCGTGTTGCACATTCGTCTCAGTTTCTTCTGTTTTCTTTTCACCTTACAGCACAAACCGACAGCTTCTTCCCCAGCCTATCGTTGGCCATTTAAACCCATGGCTTCATTGCGTCCAGCTGTTCGCGGTCGTGTTGTCGGAGCTTTGACCTGCCAGAGAGACTCATATATCAGAAACCTCGATACGGAAGTAGTATCATGCAGCCAACTTCTATCGCCAAAGGCCGATCTCTCTGTTATCAAAACCAAGACCAAGGCAGCCGAAGCTTCCACTAACGAGAAATCTTCTTCTGCTTCTCCACAGTGGTTGATCGAATTTGCTGACTCGGTGCTTTTCCCCGAGGGCACGTCTCTAACAATTGCCTCTCTCTCTATAACCTCATTATTCTGTGGCTAACGAGCTCTCAGGCGGCGGCCAACCGTCAGACTATGGTACTATTACCTCCTTGACCAATTCCTCACCCGACCCTACTCCGATCACAGTCGTCACGCGCCAGGGACTTCACTGTGTTTGCCACTCTCCCAAACCCTTGCCACCTGGTACTCCTGTACGTCAAGATGTCGACTTTCGGCGTCGTTGGGACCACATGCAACAACATACAGGCCAGCATTTGCTCTCTGCTATCATGGATGGATATGATGATCTGGAGACACTTGGATGGGGCATGGGAGCAGGGAATGATATGAGCTATGTGGACGTGCCCCGAAAACCGTCCGACGATGAAATGCAAAGCATTCAAGAGAACTGCAACGCTGCTATACGACAAAACATTGGGATCACAGTCGAGACCCCTGACAACGCCCAAAGTGACAAGTTGCCTGATGACTATGACAAGGAAGGAGGAGTTGTCCGTGTTGTTAAGATCGGAAATCTCGACGCCAACACGTAAGCCCGCTCTCGATTTAATTTCTTTAATTTCTTTTTTAGTCGATTGACTTTACCACAACAGATGCTGCGGTACTCACCTTCGTCAAACATCGCATATCTCCCTCCTCCTGTTAGGTTCTACTCAGTCCGTCCACTCCACCAAGTGTCGTCTGTTCTTCATAGCGGGAGACCGAGCTATCAACCTAGCCACAGCTTCTATCCATTCTGTCCGTTCTATTGCGAGACTTGTGTCGTCAGCAACTACTCCTGCAGAAGTGCTCGCTAATGTGAGTAAGGTGAAAGAGAATGCTACGGAGTTGAAGAAGTCAGAGACGAAACTGCTCACGGACATTGCAAAGTATGAATCGGATCGTGTGAAGGCTGTTTTGAGCACCGGGATGAATGCATTCGTTTATCGTGCTGTGCAAGGATTAGACTTCATCAATATGGTTGTTGCTCAAGTCAAAGAAGCCGTTGAAGAGGGTGCAGTGCTTGTTTTGGCTTCGGGAGAGGGAACCAAAGGAGGTCAAATCGTTATCATTGGGGACAAAGATTCTGTCGAAGACTTTGCCACCAAGATTAAGGAAGTGGTACCTGAAATCAAAGGTGGTGGAAAGGGGGGAAGGTGGCAAGGAAAAGTGATTGAATGGCGGAAGGGCGAATTGGAAGCATTGAAGAAGCAAGCCATCGGCTGAAGGAGCGAGAAACAGTGACCTCGATGCGAGTGCCGCTATTCAATGCTGCCCGAGCGGAGATCATAACAGGCTGCTACTCATGTGCTGATCTAAACGCCTCTGACGCTTGCATTGGCCCCACTCTTCGAGCTCTTATTATTGTTCGATAGAGCTAAGATTTCCCCTTCTCTTTAGGATGTAGCCATCACACCAGCTTTCTTCGAAAACCGCTGTTAGCAGGGAGAGTGCAGAGCACATTTGCGATTAGCTTAAGGACATACTTTATCTCGAAAGCAAATGCCAAATGATACTCGGACTTCTGCAACTTTACATAGCAAGTTCAAGCACCCAACTATACCAACTCTGATTCCCATCGTATCGCTTTTGTACCGCTTCAAGTTCAGTGTAGATGTTGAATCCTTGGACTACGTCGGATAACCGTATAGGCGAGTCCGTATCCCTACATAAAGATACTGTCCTTCCAAGACTTGGACCAAAATCCCGAGCTCAGCCTCAGACTTTCAATCCCGGCCCCGAAGAAATACAGGGTCTTTGCACGACAGCTTACCCTCTTACGGCTTTCGAGCAGTGACTTGACAGGTTTCGAACATGCTCATTAAGCGAGTCTCTTTATCAAGCGGTTAAGAATGGTATGGCTGCTTATGGGAACCAGTAGGGCCGTTCAAGCCCTGTGCAAAGACTCTGTACGAGGGTGGTTTGCAGAAGTCCTTGGACACTGCCGAGATTATTCCGGTTCCCCCACTAAAGATTCCTACTAATTGATAGAGAAGTCTACTTCTTTTCTACATACCACTAGAATTCAATGCTTAATCCATCACGTTCCTTACACTGTTCTACACGCTTCTGCATGTGACAGTTTTTATCCAATTTGCCTCCTTTAGGCCCTCTTCGATTACTCCCAAGGATATATTCATCAATTTCCCATTGTTCGATGCGGTCCCACTCCTCTTCAATAGCATCACGTAGTTGTTGATGCGTCATGGAATGATGTAGCTTGACTCGAGACTTTAAGATACGCCACACGTTCTCAATTGGGTTGAGATCTGGTGAATTGGCTGGCCAATCATCAATGTAATCGAGATCCATATCGGCTTTGGCCCACCGACAGCAATTGTCTAGAGTTCTGGTACCGTGAGACCCATCGTGGTCTTCCTGAAAGATCATGCCCTCGCCACGTGCCTCCAGATACTCTTTGCGTTGTCGTACAATAGGAAGAATGTCATGAGTGTACCGTTCCTGAGTCATTGGTCCACCCAATTTGCAATTTTGTTGACGAACCTTCCCATTTTTGTAACGTTTGTCAACTCCCTCGGTGTATCGATCAAACACTAATCGAGATTTGAACCCCACGGCTACCATGGCCCACACAGAAAATTGAGAAGCTGCAGTACGACGACGTTTCTGTATGCAATCGCCGCAGGAACGCTCTGATTTGAGGCGTATAACCCAATCCGTATGCCGAGAATTTTGATGAAAATAAGACTCATCAGAGAAATAAACCTATTTACGGTCAATTTCTCCAGGATCAGCCTTGAAAACTTGAGAGATATATACCATTTTCCATTTCCACTCCGGCCAATGATGCTCTTGACACCATGATTTCCGCTTGCCCGCTTGATCCTGACTTATCCAACTTTTTTGACACGCCCGACACTTGTGATAACCCCACCGATTCATGTGATGTCGTACGGTATCTGAAGATAAGGGTGGGCCGAACTCCAGAGGTGGATACGCTGGCACGGGGGCGAAATCTGGGGCTAAAGTATCCCAATCCTTGATACGCTGTAGATACCGACCTTGTAATGAGTGAATCATCTTTTTGATAGTGTCATTGTCGAGTTTGCAAGGTGCTCCGGAATGTGATTTGCCAGGGCGACGAGTAGAGGCTTCGTAAATAATGTACTGAGTACTGCGTGGGATATTTGTCTCGGTACGAATTTGGCTGCCGGTATACCCCAATTTCTTCATTCTTTTGACATCGCGACGTTTCGGTGTAGGCCACTCGGTATCTGATTGGTGAATAGGATCAGATGAGAAGGTATGTGTACTAACACGCTTGCGTTTAGTACCAGCCATGTGGTGTGGAGTGGTGTGGATGTGGACATGGGTAGAAAAAGGAGGTAAGCTACCGGAATAATCTCGGCATGTCCAAGGACTTCTGCAAACCACCCTCGTCCCACTCGGTAGCTACAATGTGACAACTTCGACTCGGCCAGCAAGAAGCTTGGGCGCTACATGCCAACAAGTTCGAGCGTATTCGATGGACCGGCACGGTGCGTGTTTCAATCGATGGTCGATGCAGTCATGACAGACATCTCATCATCGTCAAACCTCCTCACCATGTTTTCGGGCAATTCGACGTCACCCCATCCGCCGGCAAGCGTCGCATATTCGGGTGTATAACCTGTTGGCCACAAAGCAGATAGTCGATGCTGGTTTAGGTATATCCAGCATTTCAGAAGATCGTGGTTGAATAAATCGGGTAGGCCATAAACTTGAAAGGGTTGAGGACCGAAAATCTTGCCTTTGATACTGAAGTATTCCAATTTTGCGCGTTCCTCATCAATTTCTCCACGGGGTGGTCTGTTGAGGGGTATTCCATTCTCATCAACCTGGAAGAGCAACCGTTGTCTGATACTCTCTTTGTTCAGCGAACAACCGTCCCACGAGAATACCTCATCTATCACTCTTTCCCTGCATCTCTCTGCTTCGCTACCGGTCAGATTGGTAATGAGCTCAGGGGCAGTTGGAGGTTGGTGAGAAACGGTAGCAATCATGTCTGGTTGGCTTCCCTGGATCAAGTCTTCGTCTCCATCAGCAAAGTCATGTCCAGCCGGTGATGCCGTAGTGGATCCGGCCCGTGAGTTCAACGATTCTGGTGCTGGATTTGGGGGTTCCCTCAAAGCTGTTTGTGGCGACTCATTATGGACTGCGTGATCTCCGGGCGCAGTTTGAAGTCTGTTTGGATAGCTGTTTTGTCTCCCGTCGAATATTACCGAGGTTTGGCTTACGCTACCGGTGTTTCGCCGACTGAGGTTTGTTGATGCCTCGTGGAATACTTGTATCGATGACGAAGGTGCGCTTGGAATATGGGTCAATGCTTCTTCTTGTTCTGCTATCAAAGGCCCGTCTGAAGTTTCGAGTAACTCCTCTTCTGCTCGACGGAGGTTTGTTGATGGCTCGGGTGGTACTTGTATCGGTGACGAAGGTGCGCTTGGAATATGGGTCAATGCTTCTTCTTGTTCTGCTATCAAAGGCCCGTCTGAAGTTTCGAGTAACTCCTCTTCTGCTGTTGCGGGTGTGGTATCGGCTAGTTGGTTTTCTGTTGCTGACCGACAGGCCTCGAGATATAGAAGCCACATTTGGGCATGTTCTGCTGCTGAATGTTCTGCTGCTGAAGGAGAGGATATTGATCGCCGGCTAATGTTTGGCAGATGACTGAGCCCGAATGAGAACTCGCAGAAGCTAATTATACAATTAGTATTAAAGACGTTGAACTTTCACAAGAGGCCAAAAAAGATTTGAGGTCGCGAAGTTCTATACGTACCTCCATGCGAGTGTGCATATGAATGTTAGTATACCAGAAGCTATTATACAACCGTGTTTGCATAATCGTGAGCGGTCGTCGACCCCCGAAGATTCATCTAACGTATCAGATATCGATGCGTGGTGGAGAAACGCTAGAGTGAACGATAAGAGACCATCCACTAAAAGAACGGTGAGTGATGATAGTATGATGGCCAACATCAAGTGGCGGGAAAGAATCCATGAACTTGAGGGCGCCTGTGTATTCAATATGATATACATTGTGCAGGTTAGAGATGTTAGGCGACGGAGTCAGGTGCTAAATGCTTTGGATTCCGTATGAACACAACAGTGGCTATGAAGGTAGATATGTGGATACTGCCAAGCCACGCTAGGCCCAACTGGGCCATGTGTTGAGAAGTGGCCTGGTCCTGAATCTCCATGCCTTTCTCTGTTGCCTTGAGAATCAAATGCCTGCTGTGCATCACAGGCTCACTTGCTGCTGGAGGATCCGGGGACTTGTATTCTCCAAATTCTTCTCACTTTTCCTTATCACATGCTAACCCTAGCCCTGTATCCCGTACATCCACCGGCGTATACCCTATTGCTGTTAGCCGCTAATTCAGCCTTTCACCTATGTATTAATAGACCTTCTCGTGCTATGAAACCGGTGGCGTAGCTCAGGCGTTGCCGCGTGTCTCGGGGACGTGCTCGTGATATTAGTGCTTGTACTTAATTGCCCTTGTAGCAGGCTTACTCCGGGATGGTTATACTTATTTAAGAGATCGTATCGTAATCGTCTTAACTGTCCTTATAGTAGGCTCATTATGCTCGTTACCGTTATCGTAGATTTTACGTTTCTATTTCTAGTAATATAATCTTCTATACTCGTAGATTAATATCGATCTTTACATTATACGTCGTATTTATCGAGCTTTAAAGTATAAATTTAAGTAGATATAAGTAATCTCGATTTTACTATTTATTTTATATAGAGTTATATACGTAATTTTATCTAATTAAATTACTTATTTCTATCTTTAATTATAAATTATTTTTATTTATACGCTCTTAAATTTAATTTAAATAATTTAAATAACTATAGCTATTATTACTATATATTTAAAGAATCTAAAATTTTATATAATATATATTTCTACTTTAAATTTATATATAATATAATTTATAATTAAAAAGATATTAAAATTTAAATATAATATAAAGTAATTAATTTTAAAATCTAATTTCGATATTAAATTTAACTCTTAAAGAGTAAAAATACTTTAACTTAAGATTTATTTAAACTTATAAGATTAGATTATATAATTTTTACTTTCTTAAAAAGTATTAGTTATTATTTATAATTTTAAAAATAGATTAAGATATTATAATAGAGAAAAAGTTATATTAAATTTAAATTTAAATTTAAATAAATATATATAGTTTTCTTATTAAAGCTATCGAGCGAACTTTAATAAGCGATATTTAAAATTCTTATCTTTAAATAAATATAAGATTAATTTTTATAGTTATTAGAGTATTAAAGTATATAAACTAGATCTTATAATTAAAAAGAATTTATAAGATTTTAATAGAAACTTAGAAAGTTATAAAAAGTTTAAGAGTAGAAAAAGAGATTTTAATAATTATTAATATTAATTAAATTACTTTTAAGATTTAATTTAAAAGCATATTAACTCTATATTTATAATTAATTATATATATAAATTTAAGATTTTATAATTTAACTCTATTTTATTCTATTATATATATTAATTATATACTTATTAAAAAATACTATTAAATATTAATAAATTAAAATAAAAACTCTTATTTTTCTTTTTATCGCTATTACGCGATATACTAAATTATCTTATTCGATATATAAATTAATCTTTTCAATTACTCTTTAATACTTTAACTTTAATAATTTTATTTATTTATTTTTAAAAAGTGAATTAATATAGCTATATATTAAATATATACTAGAATTTAAACTTTTTAATAGTAAAAAGCTTATTAACTACGAGTTTTTAAGTATTTTTAATTCTTAAAAGAATTCTCTAAAACTTCTTAAACTCTTCGAAAGCTCTTTAAAGAATTTTCGAAAGTTTCTATAAAGATAATATTAAAGTAAATTTAAAATATAATTATTTTAATAACATTTAATTAATTTTAAGTTTACTTGTTAGTTTCTTAATAAAAGCTTTTAAAGAATTTTTAAAGAATTTTAAAAATCTAACTTTAAAGAATAAAGAGAGATATTATATTCTATTAAGAATTAAAAAAGATAGTATTAATATATATAATAGAATAAGATAGAGCTAAGTTAAAAAATCTTATTAGAAAATCTTAAATTTATTAATAAAACTAATTATAAATTTAAGTTCGTTACGCGTTTAAATTAGATCGACTATATTAGCTCGCTAGCTCTTTCGAGATCTCTTATTATAAAATAAATATACGTTATTTATAAATAGAATAACTTTTTTTTTCTATTAAAATTTTAAGATTTTTTTTTAAATTATAAAGTATAAAGTACGCTTTTTAATATTAAAAGAATTATAAAATTCAATTTTGAAATTAAGAGAAAGTAAGAAGCTTAAATAGCGTTTATTAAAACTTCTTTATTAAGTTTATCGATAGCTCTAATTAAAAAGAATATATATAAGTTTAAGTCTATAAATTAAATTTATAAAAAGTAATTAAGTTTTTTTTTTCTAATATCGAGATTAAATTCGATTCTCGAAGAGTGAAAATACTTTAATTTAAGATTTATTTAGAACTATAAGATCGAACTTTAAAATTTCTTAAACTTATTAGAAAGCGTAGAATAAGTTTTATAATTTAGAAAAAAATATAGTAAAACTTTAATAGAAAAAAGAGAAGTTATAGTAATAATAGATTTCTAAAAAATTAGTTAATTATAAATTAATTTAAATTTAATTAATAAGAAGTCAATTATAATATTAGTAATAATAATTATTTTTAATTTTATAATTTAAAGAATTTTTTACGAATTTTATAAATCTTACGAATTTTACGATTTTACGATTTTACGATTTTTGAGCGAGGGAGATTTATAAATTCGAATCGAGAACGAAGTTATTAAAAATAAATAAAGAAGATAGAAAATTTAAAAAGAGGAAATTTATTAGATTTCTCGAGATAATTATAATAGATAAAAGAGTATTTTAAATAATATTAATAATAAAAGTAGCTAGAAAGTCGAGTAATAAAACTTCTAGAAAATCTATTATAAATAGAAAAAAGAAAGAAAATCGTAATTAGATATATATCTAATATTAAAAAATAATTATCTAAATAGTAAATTTAGTCTTTTATATATTTCTAATTATTTTTCTAATACTAGTCTATTAGCTATCGTCCTTCGCGAAATTAAATATTATTAAAAGATAATTAAGCTATTAATTTTAAAAGCTTTACTTTAAAAACTTATTTAAGAAATTATATTAACTTTAATATAAATATATATTATATTATCTTTTTTAATTAATAATAGTTATATATTTTTAATAGATTCTTATTTTTATTATTAAGGTTTATAGATATTTAATTATTATATTAATTCTCGAATTAGAATTTATATTATATAAGATAATTAGTTTAAAATTCTAAAAAATTCTATTATATATAAAATTAAATATATTATAATTCTTATCTTAATATAGATATATATTATACTTACTTATTTAATTAATAAATAATTTATTTATATAATAGATTCTTATTATTATCTATAAAAGATTTTTATTAAAATTTATAAGATATTTTATTATTTTATTAATCTTGAAATTATAATCAATTTAGAATTTTAATTATATTTATAATTAATATTATATAAAGTCTTTAATTTAAAGTTCTAAAAGATTATATTATAATAAAAAATAGAAATAATTTATTCTAATATATAATATGAGTAGAGATCTATAAATTAAATTTATAATTCTTTTATTTATTAGAGCTATCGGCTAAATAGATAAGTAATCTTTAATAAGCGAACTTTAATAAGAAATATCTTAATTCCTTGCGCTTTAATAATTATAAGATGAAATCTAACAATTTTTATTTTCTCTAAAAGCCTATATTTCGATCTATAGTTTAAAAGAAATCTTACGATTTTAATAGAAAATAAAGAAGTTATTTTATATGTTAATAATGTATATCTATTTTTTTAATAGTTAATAATTACGAATTCTAATTTATTTACTCGCGATAATTTAGTCGATTTAATTAAAGAGCGTAATAACTCTAAATTTATAATAAGCTATATATATAAATTTAAGATTCTTAAACTTAGCTCTATTTTATTCTTTTATATATATTAATATATTATTATTATAGTTTTTATATAAATATATATTATAATTTCTTATCTAATTAATAAATATTCTATTTATAAATTAGATTCTTATTAGTATTTTAAAAAATAAATTTTTTAAATTAAAGATTATAAGATATTTAATTATATATTATATTAAAAATTATATTATATTAAAAATTATATTATATTAAAAATTATATTATATTAAAAATTATATTATATTAAAAATTATATTATAGTAAAAATTATAATATATTAAAAATTATATTAAATTAAAAATTATATTATATTAAAAATTATATTTTATTATATTATAAAAATAATATATTATAATAAAATTATAAGTATTATAATTATAGTTTAAGTTTTATATTTTCTTATTTAATTAATAAATATTATATTTAATAATAGATTTCTATTATTATCTTAAAAAATAAAAGAATTTATTAAAAATTATAAAATATTATATTTTTTATAAAGTTAATTATTAAT